CGTCGCGGCGAAAGCACCGTCGCCCGCCGCAAAGGCGGAGGCGCGCGGCGGGGCGTCCGCCCCCCCAGCGGCGTCGCACAACAGGGCGGAGGTCGCAAACCCCACCAGAACGTCCTTCTGGGTGTTCGCAAAGAGCGTGCGCCGCCGAAAAAGACGCAGAGCCGCGAGGTGCGGGTCGTCAATGAGCCGTGTCGACAGCACCGCCGCGGCATCCGTGAGGAGGAGCTCGCGCAGCGACGGGGCACACACCGCGGCAAGCATCCGCGTCCCCCAGTACATTCCTGCTTTTATGAGACAGTAAGCATATCTACTGCAGTAGGGAGAGGAGCAAAAAAAAAAAAATGCTCTCACACACACAGTGTCACCTCTCCTCTACCTTCTCCTTCTCTGATAGCTATATCCTCATTTATAGCCATTGATTGTTTTGGTTCGTTTTCTTTTTTTGTGAATCATCCAGCAGCTACTCAATCCAGCATGTACGTCTTACGCGACCCATTTGTTTATTCGTTGGTAATTATTGTCAATTCCTCCCTCTGCCCTTCAATACTTTCCCTCTTGGCAGCGGGGGCAGCGGCAGGTAAAAAAATACCCTCTTAACTTGGCTTGTCGCTGCTCAGCCGTGGAGTTCTCCAGTAGTGGGATGTACGTGATCGTCAGCTCCTCCCCGCTCCGCACTGGGCGAAGCGTGCGCAGCGTGATCTCGTGTGTGCCGTCCAGCGTGCCCACGGCGAGGTTGGGGTCGCACGAGTGGTTAAAGGCAGACTGCAGGGTAAATACCGCCCCGCCCTTCAGCACCCACTCCACGGATGGCGTGGCAGCCGCCGCCCCGGCACCCGGCAAGGCGTGGGCGACAAAGCCGTTTATCGCCTGCGAATTCAATGACATTTGACCGAGAAAGGTTTCCAGCGTGTCGTGGCGCAGCAAGGCGTCGACAATTTCTTCGGCCCACGCCGCGCTCGTCGATTGCGGTGGCGAAGCTGCCTCCAAAAGGGCGGCGCGGCATGGCTCGCGCAGCAAACTCTCCACGGTCCGATACCAGGCGGCGGCGTCCACGTCGCTAAACTCCGTGCCTTTGGGGGCATCGATGAGGCGGTTGAACGGCGCACAGGCGAGGTGAAACAGCTGCCGCGCAACGCTGTCTGCCTGCTCCGTGTGCTGCGTCTCCAGCAGCGCCCCGCTAAACCGCTGCTGCTTGATGGATGCCGCGATGCGGGCAACGACCCAGGCGACGCACCGTCCCAGGGACTCCTTCGTGATGGGACGGTCGGAACCGTCGCCGGCGTCCGCGTCGGGCAGCTCGGCGTGCTCCTCCTCGCGAAGCTGCCGCAGCGCCCCGCACAAAATGCGGTGGGCGGTCTTGCTGGCGGACTCGCATTTGGCCGAACAAAAATAGGAACCACACCCGTCGCAGATGCGCCATGCAGCATCATCCTGCTTTTCTGTGGCGTCCGTCGCTGCCGCCCGCTGCCGCAGACAATGCGTGCAGAAGGGAACGCCGAGTGCCACGTACCCCTGCGCCGGCCACGAGACGATGGGTGCCTCCTCAAAAAGATCCCGCTGCGCCGGGATGTCGGCTGTCGCAACGACGTGCTTCCCCTTCTCGCTCGTATTCAGCACTCTGCACGGCACCTCCATTTTCTCGAAGATCCCTGTCAGGTGCAACGCCGCCGCCTCCGCAGTGTCCATCGCGGGGTGCACTAGATATCGCAGCTACACTGTAACTTGCAAGAAGGAAAAGAGAAACAAAATTTTTAAAAAAAATCAGAGGGGAGTATGAGAGTAAGACACCTGAGGCAAGCTACAGCGGCGTATGGAGCCAAGAGCACGAGGATGTCACTCCCCAAACGTCGTTTTTTTTTTTTTGAAAGGAAGAAAAGACATGCTTCTTACCACCAAGACAATTACTCTTGCCGCTCTTGTTTTCCGTCGTAGTATTATTGCAATGAACTGTGTTACCTTGAAGTGGCAAACCCGTCGCGAGAAAAGTACGCTGGCATGTGTGCTAGGCCTTTTTACTGGGAACACCACACCATGTGCGAATGGGGCCGTTAAGTCTCATGTTCCATCGCTTACGCTTCGCTTTCAGCCCTGCAGCAGCCCCCCCCCCCCCCCCCCGTTGCCGCTTTACTCGTAGGGGTTCAGTTCTAATAAAATGCGCTGCAGCTCTTCTACCGAGTCCGCCTCCCTTAAGCTCGGGTGCTCCTCCTCCAGGGCCCGCAGCGACACGGAGAGTTGGCGAAAGCGCCGATTCGCCAGCGACTTCATCTGCAGCACCATGATCCGGAGTTGAAACGCCCCGTGCATCTCGGCCATGCGATTCCACGTAATGACTTTGCATATCATCTTCATATCCTCCAACTCGTCATCCTGCTCCTGCCTCGCCTCCTCCCGTTCTGCGGCGTGATCGTCGGGGGAAGCCGCCGCTGCGCCCCGATGTGCAAGACGGCGCAGCGCCAGGGAGAGCAGCGTCAGCTCGTTGAAGAACACCATAAGAAACTCCAACGTCTGCACTGAAATGCACCGAGCATGCTGGACGTTTAGGGGGTCCGTCGGGACACGGACGTAACGCAGGGCGGCAATACAGAGCACTTCAAGCACGGTCGCGTAGCGCAGAAAAAGTTGATTCAAATACGGCACATTCGTGACAAAAGCTTCTGGATTTTGCAAGATGCAGACGTCATGGTCTTCAAAGCCGTTAACATCCACGCAGGAGAGCTCAGGCCTAGACACGCTGGAACGGCTCTCACCGGGAATGTTTCCAAGAAGGATGCTGCTAAAGATATCCGCCGCCTTTGCGTAGGTGCTGGAAATTTCTTGGGGAATAGAGTCCATCATAATCGCAGAAGAAAGATCCACCTCCACCGACGATGATCTGCGTAGCGGCAAAGACCCACTTAAACTGTTGTTGGTGCTCTGTGACCACGGAACGTAACCACTATCGCTCACGTTTACTGGAACGGCGTAGAGCACGACCCGTGGATCCTCCCACTTTAGGCGCCGGGCAAAAAATGCAGAGATGTAGCACGGCGCGGTATGCCCGCTACGAAAGAGACCCGTGGTGTCCGACCCGCGTAGGTAAAAACATAGTTGAAACTGCCGCGACCACTCCTTGGCGTTGCACTCCTTGGGGCCAATGAGCGGGTCCCCGCTCATCATAATACTCGTAAAGTGGTCGCGCGACGACTGTGCCAGGTGAGGCGGCAGTGTGATCATGTGCTCCAGGGCAGGGAGGAGCGTTTCCACCGCCACAGCCCGCCAAAAGGCCTGCACGGCGGCCACCGATTTTTCCCATAGAAAGGGCTTGATGCAGCTGTACGCGATACATAGAAGCTGGCACTCGGTACTCGCCACAACCCAGCGGCTCAGCTGGTTATCACGCAGCTGCGGGGGAACCACAAACTGCTCCAGGCCAAGGACGCATCCGAAGCCGCGCTGACCCTCATTCGACGCCGTCCATCGGCCAAGTTTTGGTTTTAAAGAACCAAAAACGACAACGTAAAACAAGTTCTCGTCCAGTTGTATTTCATCGCCCTCGTTTAGATTCTTGGCGTTTCCCATGGCACTTATTGTGCTAATTTCTTGAGGATCCAGTCCGCGACCTAGCGGCGTCGCTGCCAGAGCCGCAATCACCAATTCATTGTCGACTCGCGGCGCCTCCCACGATCGTGGTATGCGTTCATACATGTCATGCACCATCTCCTCCAGGGCGGCGGTAGGTCTTGCCCCAAACCCGTGCGACTCATGCAACTCCTCCACGCCTTTACGAATTTGGTCCACAGCCGTCAAGACAGCACGAGTCGTGGTGACGCACATCGTGGCTACAGGATAGGTTGCGTACAGGAGACGAATAACACGACGCACCTCCTCTCGCTGTGATGTAATCCAGGCTTCAATGCGTCGCCCCTGTTGTTCATTTTTGGCGTACTGATATTTAATAGGGCCTATCTCGTCAAGGCACCGTGAGAAGGAAAGTAGCGTCATAAAGGCGTTTTGCTGCACACGCATGTGCGCCCAGCCCAGGTATCCCTTACCTAGAAAGCATTCCAAAACAGTAACCCAGAACGGCAGAAGATTTTCTTCTATTAGGCGAGCCTCTAATTCGTCCGTCACTGCTACATGCGGAGACAGCTTTCTCCCGTGCAAATCCTTGACTTCAATCAACATTCCCGCATCGATAGCTCGTGCGACGGCGCGTCCTATGGCTAAGACAACCGTTTCAGTGATGAGATCCTCATCTCGCTGACGCCACAAGGAGGCCTTAAAGGCCTTCATAAGAAGACGATTTACAACAATGTCATCGTCTTCTCTCAAGGAACTCATGCCTTTATAAGGGTTGCAGAGGTGTTCTTGCACATACGTCTCTGCGGCGGCCCAGTTGGCACTTCGGTAGGAGGACTTGTTCTTGTTGCGCTGAAGCGCCTTTTGACTCACAACCTCCAGGTACTCCAAGGCGTAGTCCATCTGCACCATGCGATGTTCCTCCTTACGTTTGTGACCCAGCAGCGTCACAACTCGCTCGGCGGTTGTGGCGTTTAAAAACAGAGTCAAAAGTACAACTCCACAGGTGACTTTTAAAATATTCACCCCAGACTCAATTCCAGTTTGAAGCACCGCCAAGGCAAGCGTAACCGCGACCCCACCTCGAAGCCCTGCATGTGCAAGTAGAGTGACCTCCTGCTGCGACAGTCGATACGAAAAAAGGTTTAAAATGGGTAAAAGTATCTCTAGCATTAAAAAGCGTGCTAATAGCATTGCGGCGTACATGCAGGTAATTATTAGAAGATCCAACATGTTTAATGTAGGCACCACATCGGCCACCAAAATGACTCCCACCAAAGAAAACAGCATTGTGTTTCCAAGATGCACCAGAAATTCCCATATGTTGTATATCAAATTCCCTTCGCGACCAGGAAACAATGAAGGGCAATAAAAGCTCAAAAATGTTCCGCTAAAAAATAGTGTTAAGACCCCACTAGTACCTATAATGTTTCCAGCGACATAGTAACACACATACGTGACAGATACTGTGATGCATGCTTTAACCAACCCACCGGTGGCACGGCGCAACCAGTAGGATTGTATAAATCCAAAGACAGGTCCAACAATAATGGGTAGAAATGCAAGTTGGAAGCTTTTTAGAATGATTACCCACACTGGGTCCCCCATGTAGCCCGCTCTCGCTGCAGGTAATAGGAGTTTAAACGCAATGATAGCTGTACCATCATTCATAATAGCCTCACCATCTACCATAGCTGTAATCCTATTGTCAACGCCAAGACCCTTTAATAACGAAACCACAGCCACAGGATCTGTCGCAGATAACAAGGATCCCAAGAGTAATGCTGCATACCATGACCACTCTGGAAAAAACCACGCCACAGGTAGGGCAAGTAGACATGTGTTAATAAGAACACCAACTGATGCCAGAAGCAGCACTTGAGGAAACACGTAACGTAACGCATGCACATTCATCGCATAACTTCCCTCAAAGATTAACACTGGAAGAAATATGTAGAAAAGGAGCTCCGGTGGAATGTTACCAAGTGCTGCGGCAACGTCTGGGGTGATCCAGTGCGCGACAAAACCGACGAGGATTCCGTACAAAAATAAAACTACTGTATACGGTAGAGGTATTTTTGACTTATGTGTTGCAAAGAATGTGCCACCGCAAAAAATAAGCATCATCAAAAACAACACATTCTGCGAAAGCACTTCAAGTTCCTCTGCTCCATCATGGCCGTCTGCTGTCTTGTTCATGCTGTCACTTCACACATAAATCAATACAATGCTACGACAAACAAAGCAAGCTTGCCTCCAGCTAACCAGAGCTAATATAACTTCCCTAACCTTGCATACTTCAAGGTCCAGAAAAAGACAACCACAGAGATAGATAGATAGAATGGAAGAAAAAAAAAGCATGTACGGAGAAACTAATTAATTTCGTTTTTTTTTAGAGCAAAAGCAACATCATGCATATACGTATAAACAAATAAATATGCCAGTCAGAAAAATATTACAACTCCACGAAATTCGATAAATTGAAAACAAAACAAAAAAAAAGGACCGAACCACTCATACAACTCTTCCAGTGGTTGCCAATAAAATAAGTTAAAGTCCAGTTGATTTGATAACACTCACTTAGATACAACCCCAACGTCTTTTGGTCGATTTGGTTTCTCTGCGTTGATGGCAGGATCTAGTATGGGTGCTGAGATTGGTTGATTACCAAAAACGCGCGGCTCCTTGTCAATGGGCATAGAATAAGTATGTGTCATTTCCATCCGATCGTTGTGGTCACTCAATTCCGCAAACTGCACGCTGAACTCATCTGGTTCGCCTGCAGGAGGGTGAAGCTCGTCAAGATGCTTCACTTCTTCTAAAGTCGCCTTCATGTCTTCGTCACTCGCCGCACTTTCAATGAGAAAGCGCAGAAGTCGATAGCGATCCATCATGGTGTCATACAGTTGGTATCGTTTTTGTGCTTTGTATAGGTTTGCAAGAAGGATAACAACGCTCAGATTTTTGGGATCCAGCGAAAATGCCTTTTTAGCCGCAACAACAGCGTCAGCCAGTCCGTTGATAGGATCTTCCTTATGTAGTATGAGAGCCAAAATTTCCCACGGGGATGCCTCGTCAGGGAATTCTTCTATGGCCTGAATGCAGAAACGCTTTCCAAGGCTCAATGAGTCCATTGCACGATCCTCGACAAACTGGAAGAGAGCTAACCTGTAAGCCGGCTCCAAGTCGTCAAGGGATCCCCGTTCAACTCCTGGAATTCGTTTTCCTGAAGGCAATTCAAATTTACCAGACTTTTCCCGATAAAGCCTTATAAGTCGTTCGCATATTTTATAACTCTCATGCTCCCGCCCAGCGTATCGAAGAACGGAATGGAGTTTAGATAAAATATAAAACTCAAACCGTACAGGATCCTCCACTAATTCATACATATTCCGCGCCAATAGCATCTTTAAAAAACTAATCACCACACCAATTGTATCTTCAGAACCCTTTGCGGTAGAACTCTTCAAGCGGGCCGCAACATGCTGCTCATCCATAGATCTAAAAAGTGATTCCAAAAACAGCGAAGTATATTGAGGGCCTATGGCATGAATAATGGGAGAAATTGCCTCTAAAAAGAAACGCGATGTTGATCCTTCTCCGTTTTCTATGTAATGCACTGAGGCAGCCTCTATTACAATATCGGAAAGCAGGACCATTGCAACTTCTAATAGATAGGATTTATTTCCATGATGCTTGGCAGATGCAAATTCCATGGTGGTTTCTGTCGGATTTGGTTTCAATTCTTCGGCATTACTCCAAGCTTGAATTTTGTCAAATAGCTCACAAAGCTTTCCAGGGCGTTCAGTACCTGTGTATAGCTCTATAAGAGACTCTAATGCATCACAGTTTGAGTGATCTGAGGACAAAATTTCCATGCAAATACTCTCAGCCTTGTCATAGTCCCGGAGTCGTCTCCTCGCCAACGCAATGATGTACCGCACATGATTGCAGTCATTTTCAGTAATCACGACAACCTCATTAGCGTCTTCGTCAGTTGTCTCCTTTTCACCCTCTGCAACAGCTATTTGCGGTAACCGCTTCGATAATGTTTTTTTCATTGTACATCCGATCTTTGTTACTAACTCATTAAGCTTATCTTGAAGATTCGTGCAAGCAGACTCGAGTTCCTCTTCTGTACTATTGCTCTTTAGAACGATTTCCTTCCATTCCTGTATGGGGACAGTTGTGTAACCATTGTATGCCAATTCTTCACGGTGCAGCAAATCGTACTCACGTTCCATCTCTTCTAGGGCGGCCTGTCCCTCCGGTGTTATTTTTCTGTAAGTTACCATTTGCTTTGGATGATTGGCAGGATCCTGAATGTAACCTGAAGGCGTGTCCGCCAGTGTATTCTTTGTAATATTGCGAAAATTGTGCTTTGCGGTCCTTTTTAAGGCATAGTGACGGCGTTGAACCACTGCATTAGTATTGTTTGAATACAAAAGAAGTTTTTCGTCCCCTTGCCGTTTCCTCGGAAGGAAAAAAAACTTCGATGTGTTACCATAGCAGGGGCTACACAGGCAGCATCTCCCCGCGCAAGGATCCTCCTCATATATAGCAAAATTCAAACCCGATACCAAGTGTCTATGCAAACAAAAAGGAAGTACATATATAACGGTAATTGCCGTGAACCCTGCCGTTAAAGTCAAGGATATTGGAAGAAGGAGTGAAAAGCAAAACCAGGAACATATAAATATATAAAAGAACACCCAAGCAAAGACGACAATGTGAAAAACGTACAAAGCAAAAGTAATTAGGGGGGTGCAATAAAGGAAGAGAGTTGTTCATAGTCTTCAATTAGCAAAATGTCACTCATTCGTAGAAATCTAGCCAGTCAACTACACTTGGATTTTTATGGTTTCCCTAAAGCCCCGACTCCAATGGAGGCAACGGCATTTCCTGAAAAAATGGGGACACATTAGGAAAGCTTCTTGTTTGTGCTACAAATACTTTATAACTATTTCCCATTTCATCTGGGTCCATTAGTCTTCGATAATTCTGTAAAATCTTCATGGCGCTTTTCGTTTCTTCGTCCTTAATAACATGTGCCAGACGGACATCAATTCCACCCCATTGAAGAAATTCCCGTTGCGTCATTATTGGAAACCATTTTAAATGACGTCTAGCAGTTTCTAGGCGTTCTAACGCCCATCGTAGTTGCTTAAAGCTTACCCACGATGAAAGATCAACCTCACCAGGAGAGAGCAAAGGATCCACGAATTTATGCCCGCGTATTCCTCTCAAGGTACTATGCATATGTTCATCCTTTCCGTAATCAATTATAAGGCATGCCGCTTTTTGACAATCCACCATCTTTTTCATAACCAATTCCATTGCTTGCATTCCAACCGCATTCACCTCAATGCAATCCCCTACTTTACCACTTGAACGAACATCATTAGGTATAAGATAGGCTGAGAAAGACCCAGATGGAGCATGTACCATGTGGAAATGAGCCTCATTTGCAGGATCTTCATCCACCTCCAGACAGGTTTCGACCCAACCTCGCTCCGTATAACGAAACTGCGCAACAGGAAGAGCATCAAAATACTCATTCGCTATAAAAATGGTCGGTTCAAGTGAAAATGGTATAGATTCTAAATCCATCCACCACTTTATCTTTTTTTGGGAAGTCTGAAACTCAGCAAGGGCAGTTTTCTGTTCTTCCATACGAGCCGCCCCAACTTCCACAAGATGTATCTGTAAAAAGTGAAGTAAGTGAGGATTGGAGTATTTGATCTGCTTCAACATGTTTTTCATGAGTGTCCCCCTGCCAGGGCCTAATTCAACTAAATGAAGGACCCTGGGAGTTCCCATCTTCTGCCAGGCATCCATGATCCAAGCAGAAATGACATCCGCAAAGAATGGTATTTCAGCTGCCGTAATAAAATCAGCCTTTTCACTACCAATCACGTGTTTCTTCGCGGTGTAGTACCCGTGTTGGGGGTGGGTCAAGCATTCTTTAACAAACTGTGACATTGGGAAATAGCCTTGTGAAGACATTTTACTAATTAATTCAATACAGAGCGGAGTCTTTAGCTCCTTTCTGTTCTTTGAATTAACAGTAGCCCGATCCGGCGTAGACATTTCGCTTGCATGTAGTGTAACAAGATTCCTTCTTGTACAACGGAATCCACGAAATAAATTTTTTTGAAGCATGACTTCCTTGATTTCCTCGGATAAGCCAGCTTTTCTTTTTTTGTTTTTCCCTATTCCTCTCTCCCTCTCTTTCTCTCTCCCTCGCTCTCTGGTATCTGTGTGGTAAAGAGGGTTTTGACAAATGAACTTCACTCGATCCTAGCCTTGGCAATACTATTTTTTAGCGATCCACCGCTGGCATCCCGAGAATCAGAACAAAAAGTGAAAAACAAAAGGAAAACGCGAGCTCTCTCCCACGGCAGACGCGCGCGCTCCGGCAACCACCAAGTGAAGAGAAAAGAGGTGGGGAAAATAATCATTGAAGGGCGGCCGCGCGGAAAACCGGTCCACAGAAGCGGGCCCACGCAGCGGCGGTCGCTGCGGCCTGAACCCAAAACCGACGGACTTGCATACATGAATGTCGAACGTCCCGCCCAGCGTGTGTGAAGTATGACTGGGCGGCGCCCCGGTCCCGAACCCCCTCCCCCGCACGGCGCGTCACTCCCCGCAGCCGAGCGGGCACCCGCTGGCGAGGTGCGGCGGCGACAAAAAAAAAGAAAGACACCAACCACCACGCGCCG